TTGGTTATAGGTGTTTTTAATTTTTTTCCAGGATCCAGTCAAAAATTACAAATTGCATTTTGTTGTCATATTTCTTGGGTCTTCTTTAATTTGGCAGGGACCTGACTTTGTATTTTTCATGACGATTTTCTAGAATCCAGGCCACATGTTTTGTAGAATGTCCCCCAGTTTGGATTTGTCTGATTGTTTCTTCATGATTAGTTTTGGTGTAAATATTTTTGTCAGTGATACGTCAAAGGTGATACTGTGTCATTGTCAGTGTGTCCCATCTGGAGTGGGATGTCGGTGTGTCTTAGTTTTGGTGAAGTTAGGTTTGATCGCTTGATCATTCTGTTTATTCACTTTTGCCTCATAGACCCTTCGTGCCCTTCTGCTAGAGTCAACCATTTTGACCAGTTTCCTATGTGTGTGTATATGTATGTATGTATGAACATGTATCTATACATTTATATATGTGTGTCTCTCCTCTCTTTTTTAAACACTAATGTTTGCATTTTATAAATATATAGAGAGACACATATATAAACACTTGCATTTTATTATATCTTTTAAACTTCCGGGTTTTTTACGTGGTAGGTATGATTTGATATGTTCTTTCAGATGGGCGTTTTGGTAGTTTTTCAATTACTTGGTCTAGTGGTACATCTCTAGTCTCTCTTCTACCTTAAAATCCAGAATGAGAACTGGTGTAACCTATTGTCCCCCAGGTGTGAGTCCTGATCATTAATTAAATATTTAACAAATAGTTGGCCGCGGAGAGACTATCCCAGAACAGGAAGTCACAGAGACAGAGTCATGGAAGTAGAATGAACAGGGAGAATGAAGAATGGTGAAATTGGACTCATCGCTTGAGGTCAGTGATTGGGCCTGAGAATACTGGATTATGTTGGTCTGTATTTTAGGGTTTTCTAGATGTCTCATTTGTTTTCTAGGCAATGCCCAAGTGTCTAGGGACATAGGGAGCATTCTGTGCATTATGCTGGCCGCCTCCTTCCATTTCGCACCGTTGTAAGGAGTAACACAGTGAAGTTGTTAAGACCGTGGGCTTTGGAGCCAGGCAGGCGTGGCAGCCTCTGGCAGGTGACTGACCTTTCTTTTCTTATGCTTGTTTTCTTATTTACTGCAATGTAACAAGTCCCCCCAACTTGGTGGCTTAAAGTAAAAACAATCATTATTCTCATGTTTCCATGGGTTGCCTGGACACGCGTAGGCAGGTCTCACTCAGAGTCTCTTACGCAGTCGCAGTCAGATTGCAGTTGGAGGTAGAGACACCTCATAAGTGCGCTCACTCGTGTGTCTGGTGGCTGGTGCTGGTTGTCCGCTGGGACCTCCGCCTGGGTTGCCAGCCGGAGCACTGGGATTTCTCGCAGCGTGGCAGTTGGGTTCTGAGGGTGAGCATCCCCAGAGGTCGAGAAGGAAGCAGCAATACCGGTCTGACCTTGCCTCAGAGATGGCCGAGTGCCACGGCCGCATCTCCCAGATCTGGGGAGAGAGAACATGGATCCCACCTCTTGATGGAGGAGTGGCAAAGACCCAAGGTCAGACGAGCCTGGGGGTGGGATCTCTAGAGGCCGCCGTCTTTGGAAAATAAAATCTGCCACACTCATTTTAAACAGGAGGAATCATACCTATTTTATATGATTGTTTAAAGGAGTAAATGAGATAACCTTCGCAAAGCTCATAGCGTAGTGGCTAGTACATGGTACATGGAGAATGAATTATTCCAGAAGATGGAAGGCAGGGGTATAAAAGGCGGAAGAATGACAAACATCGGTCAGATCCTTACTTTGAAAAATTTTTACCATTGTCTGATGTAGTGGGAGTATGAATTTTTTTCCTATCTGAACTTTTTAATGGATTATTCAAAACATACCTATAAAAAGAGAAAAAAACCTACATGTTCTGAAGACAGTCACAGTCTGTAGTCATAGTCTATTATCTCACAGATAATTTAAAAAACCATCTGTTGTAATTGCAGTGAGGTTTAAGCTTTGTCCGTTATCACTGTCTCTTTATAGAATCAAAGTTGCGAGGTACCTCAAATGATCTCGTTCCATTCTCTTCTTCCTGGTGGGCATACCTTCTGTTTTTATAAACAGGCTAACATGTTTTCTCTAAATTAAAACAAAAATATGTTGGCTTTGAGAAATTCAAACAGTGGAATGTTTTGAGTAAGTCTCAGGACCTTCCCTCACCTGGCAAAGTCGGTCCTGGTTAACATTAAGTGTACTTCTGTAAATTTTCTGTGCATGTTTTCTGTACATATACATACATACGTACATACATTTATCCCTTAAACAGATACCCCAAACTAAATGGGGTTATATTAAGTATATTGTACTGCAATTTGCTAGGGTGAAGCTTCGATGAAGATGTTTGAACAAAGATTTTTGAGTAATTCTTCATGTGGCATTCCATTCCTTACTGGGTTAAAGGGTGCGATTTAAATTTAAAAAATTTAAGAGTTTACAAATAATTTGATGTCCTTTCATGTTTTCATGATGTTTGGTAGTTCAGGTCATAATTTTCCTCAGTACACCATGTAAATTAATCAGGTACAGACCTCTTCATTGAGGTTCTTGACCTTGTTTCAGTAATTTGCTTTGAATTAATCTCCTGAAGAGTGGAAATTAGAAGCTGAATCCTCTTCCTTACAAGTTTGGTTGAGACTTGTTCTCTGTACACAGTAATTAACCTCCCCCCGATTCTTATCATCCCTCAGCAGGCTATGCAGCCCCGCAGCTCCACAGCGCCAAGGCCTGTCACCTGCCTTGATTAAGATCTTTAGAAGCAGTGCTTGAATACAGATGTTTGCACTTGAGCTTGACAAGTTTCTCAAAAAGTGAATTTGACCTCCACTTTCACGGTTAAGTAAGGATTAAATTCCACTTAAACTAGCCTTCGTTTAATAAAAGTGAATGGAATCTTAATATGAATGGTCTCATTTATGTTCTTTTTCCCACCCTTTTCATACAGCTGTAGTTAAGTCCTCTTTGTCTTGAGTCTGGGTGGGTAGTTTGTGTGTTTTTGGTGACTACTGTATTTATTCCTATCAGTGTGGTGCCGGGTCTTTAAAGGCCTGTGAAAATATGCCAGGTCTTGTTGGAGAGAATAGAAAGATACTTTTCCTAGGTGATCCTCCATGGGAGTGCTTCTCTTTTTCGCTCTCCTGCCCTTCATCCTTGTTTTATACCCAGACCTTCTGTCCACTGAAAGAGCCCTGGGGGACACGGTGAGCCTGTATCCACCACAACCATCTCCAGGGCCGCAGGTTGCACTTATTGCTGGCTGGCCGTGACGGTCTGGAGGCAGCCTGGAATGTTGGCACACACTCAGAATTTATAGTTATATATTAAAGTGTACAGTTGACTATTGTCCAAGGAAGTCTGCCTAACTTAATTTACCTGTGCCGAAACACAGACTGGAGTTCGTTGTGTAAAGTTCCCCCTTCTTCTCTTCTCAAATCTGAATTCCTCAGTCCACCGCCCGACTTTTAGTAACTGGCCTTCGTCCTTCTGGTGAGCTGTCTGTCCCCCTTCAAATTGCTATTATAGTGTTAAGATAGTTCATTTTAAGCTCACGTTTCTGTTGGCAGTTAGCCAATGGGTTCACCGCTTTCTTAAACTTCTTGAGAATGCCCACGCCCACACCACACACATTTATAGTAATACATTCATTGTGAGCATTGAAAGCTACAGAAAATTATAATGAGGAAATGAAATCACCATCAGTCCCACCCAGGTATGGTGTTATGGAACTGAAGGGGTTCGCAGCTTGGGGTGTTCTATTTAAGAGCAAGAGGTGGCTCTCGCTAGGTAGTTCTGTTTACTGCAGCAAGTAAAGGCGGCAGGGATTCACATGCAAAGCTCTGTCTCCCCGCAGGGAGGCCGCCATTGCTTCTATAGAGTATCCGGTTAATTACATGTCGATTTCTTCTTTGCTGTTGGCCACTCTTATCCAGTTGGGTTCTTGTCTGGCTCATTCTGTTTATAGCTACTTCTGGAAAATTCTGTGCTATATTTTGACAGTTAGCGAGACTAGCATTTAGTAAGAACCACCCAGACCTCGATACCCTTGTCTTATCTAAGGATAGATACTTTAAAAATTTTTACACATTTGCACCCACTCTTTTTCTATGCAGGTGTATGTATTTGTAGGATCATTACCATCCTGTTTTACCTTAACATTAAATTATGGCCGAATATTTTTCTATATCATTAAATATTATTTGACAGCATCATTTTTAATGGCTACATAATATTTTAGCTTGTGGCTATTCCATAATTATTAGATCATTTCCTTGATATTAAATATTTAAGTTTTTCGTATTCTTGCTATCGTGACGCTGTGATGAACATCTTTGTCTATAAACTTTGTTTGTGTCTCTGTTGGTATTTTTGGGATAAGAACCTGGAAGTGTAATTGCTGAGCCAAAGGACGTGGACTCTTATCTAATACCTTTTTCCTACTTAAACAAGTAATTCATGTTTATTGTAGCATATTCATACCATGCGGAAACGGTAAAGCAGAAAGCGAGAGTCTGCCGTCCGCCTCCTCCAGGAAGCGCGTCCCCGCCTGGGGGGAGCGGCTGTTCTCAGGGGCTTGCTGCTCGTGGCCGTGTCGGTCGCGCCACCTCACACGGGCACTGCCACTCCGCAGCCTTGTTCCTGTGTGCAATACACATGCTCGTTGCAGACTTTTGCCACTTTGATAGAACTTTTTCTTTTTTTTAAGCAACTCTTCTAACTTTGTATTCCTTTGAGTTACTAGTAGTTTTTTGTGTTGACAATTTTGATCTCTTAAGTGAATTGTCTTAATGTTCTTCTTGGCCTTTTTTTTTCATTGAGAAGTATTAGTGTTTTGGTTATTTATTTGTAAGTAGCTTTTATAAATAAATATATTAGGTGTTGTCATATTTGTTGCAAATATTTTTTCAGATTGTAGTTTGCCTTTACCTTTTGTTCGTGAAGTTTCCGACGTAAACACATTAAAGTGTGTCGCTAGGCTCGCTTCTGGATCTTCCTTTGTGACTTCCTTCATTGACCTTCAGCTTTAAAAGGCCATTCCCATTTGATGGGCTATATATGAATGCGTTTTCTTTTAGTTAGATTTTTACATTCAACTTTTTACCACTATTTACCAACATTTAAGTGCATCGTGGAATAAGGATCTAACTTGAATTTTTAAAATGTGAAATCTCCAGATTTTAACAGCGTTATTGAGCTTATTTGCACACAGTAAAATTCACCAATTTTAATTGTACAGTTTAATGATTTTTTGCAAATGTGGACAGTGGTGTTTCTGCCACCACAACCAAGGTGTAGAAGCCCTACATCACCCAAAAAGCTCCCCTGTGGCCATTCGCAGTCCCCTCCTCTACTCCTGGCTCCAGGGATCACTGATGTGCTTTCTCTTTTCTAGAATTTCGTATAAATGCAATGTAGTAATGTATATGTAACTGTAGGTGGTCTTTTGAATCTGGCCTATTGCATTTAGCATGATGTTTTTGAGGTTCATGCATGTGGTGGCATGTGTCAGGGGTTCTGTCTTTTTTATTGCTGAGTAGTATTCTGTTGCATGTAGGTATCACAATTTATTTGTTCAGTTAGGGAATATTTAGGTCGTTTCCATTGTTTGGCTACTGTGAATAATACCGCCATGAACATTCATGTACAAGTCTGTGTGGAAATATGTTTTCATTTATCTAGGATAGTTCCTGGGAGTGGAATTGCTAGATTGTATGGTAAGTGTATATTTAACTTTATAAGACACCTCCAGACTATTTTCTGAAGCGGCTGTACCACTTTTCATTCCCATTATCCATATATGTGAGATCCTTTTATGCCACATCTTCGTCAACACTTGGTATTTTCAGTCTTCTTAGTTTTAGCCATTTTAGTGGCTGTGCTTTAACTTTAGTTTTAAGAGACAATTGTTCTCGCTTTGTTAAATGACTGTCTCACGTCGCGAAAGGCAGGAGGTTGCGGCTCAGTGCAGGCATCGTCAGGGAGTGTCGAGAGACCCGATTGCCTGATGGATGAGCTGTGTCAGAGCTTTGAAAGTGACTGGATCAGGAGAGACCAAGCAGGACTCAGTGGTTACCTGAGAGGGTTCTGCCCCTCACAGCTGGGGTTTGTGCCTTGCTGTTCCCCTGCCACAGAACCAGTCCCTGTGTCACTGGCAGTGGGCCCCGAATTCTGCCTTTTTCACGGGCCTCGTCGGCTGAGCCAGAGATTCTGGAAGAGATCCATCACTGAGGTCAGCGCTCTCACAGGTGCATTTGCGTGACTTCATCTGCGTCCCCTTGGTGTGGTCTGCTTGTGGGAGGCAGCAGGGGTGGTGTGGTCAGGAAGTGGCTTCTGGAGTGAGATGCCCTGATGTTAAGCGCTGCCCTTCTGCGGATGGATGTGATCTTGGGCAGGCTACTTAACCTCTCTGTGTCTTTGTTCCTCGTTTGTAAGGTGGGGTAATGGGGTACCCATTGCATGTTGAGATGATTAAATGAACAATGGTGCCTGACACCTAGCTCAGATCTTGGTGTTTAGTCAACACTGTTCTCCAATAAAAGGAACAAGAGCTCTTTGGAGAAATGGCTGATCCCAGGGCTGAGACAGGAAATATACAAGATTTGGTAGTGCCAGGAAGTGAGAAAGAACTAAAAACAAACAAATCCCTTATTGATGGGGACATTTCAAAGTGACACAGGAGCCAATTGAAAGTGCTCCCAGTGGCGAAAGCAATTTGGGCAACAAAATAAAGTAGTGTTAGATTATCTCAAAATATAAGATAAATATCCATGCATCTGTACTAATATAAACGATTGAATAAATAAATGGGAGAATAGACCAGCTTCCCTTGTTGTAGAGTGCCAACCAACTTATGTAGGTGCTCCGCCCTCCAGGAGGGGACAGTATCCCCTACTCGTGAAGCATGTGACATACGGTGTGACTTCTTCCAAAGGGTACAGTATGGAAAGAGGGGAAGGAGAGCCACTTTGCAGTGGAGCAACCTGACAGACATGGCCTCAGCCTGGTGATCAAGGTCAGCATCCACGGTGACAAGTCATGCTGATAGTACGAGCCCTTGGTATGCTGTCATGAAATGGTATGGTAGTGCCGTAGCCTTCCTCCCCCGAACCCATAACCTGAGTCTGATCGTGCGGAAAACAGCCAGATCCCAGTATATCCCGTCTGACCTGTGCTCCTCCAAACTGTCAGTGTTACCCAGACAAGGAACGTCTGAGACATGACAACTAGATGTAATGTGGTCTCCATCAGCCTGACACAGATCGTTCCATCTAGGCGATTCCCTGAGACCCTGCCTCCCCCAACTTGCGGACCCACCCAAGCTGCTTCCAGTGGCTTCTCCATACTAATGGTCTGTCTTGGCTCATGCTGCAGACTTTCCTAAATTCTCTCAAAGCCTCACAAAACATAAAGAAGCAGGATCTGGCTTTGATGTGCTCGAACCTCTTGCTGAGCAGCCCCAAGCCCAGCACTAGCAGCAGCCAGCCTTAGTTTCTGGGTTGGCCTCTCAAGGTGCCTATAAGCCCAGCACGGGTGGCAGCCTCTGTGGATTACTTGGTGATGTTACCTGGTGGCTCCAGAAGTGCATAGGCTGTGGCTGAACTTGGCCTGCAGCTGGGCCTCTCCTAGGAGGCCCTTGGGCTGGCTCACCCAGTGGCCCGCTTTGACTTGTGACAGAGCCCGAGCACCACCCAAGGCTACATCTGAGGAGGACACATCCAAAAGGCAGACTGGGCACCAGAGCCCTGCTAAAGTGAATCCTGCTCCGTAGGGTCAGCCCCTCACTGGCCAGTCCTCATAACCAATCAGCCTGGGGTTCAGTCCCTCCATCGGAGTGCGAACAGCAACCAAGTCTCAACTACAACAGGAGGGCACACATAGCCCACACAAGGGACACACCATGAGCACCTCTCTCAGGTGACCAAGGAAGACTGTGCCACTGGGCCCCACAGGACACTTCACTAAGACTGGGAGACTTAGGAGCCCTACCCAACACATAGAAAAAACAAAGTGGGGAGAGAAACATGTCTCACATGAAAGAATGGAACAAAGCTCCAGATAAAGAACTGAACAGAATGGAGATAGGCAATCTACCAGATGCAAGTTTCAAAACACCGGTTATAAGGATGTTCAGTGAACTTGGGGGAAGAGTAGATGAACTCAGTGAGACCGTTAACGAAGAGCTAGAAAACATAAAAACGGAGATGGAAAACAAAAGAGAACCCATTAGAAATGAAGAATATGCCATCTGAGATGGATATGGAGGGTCACGCGTAGGGGTTTCCTTTTTGCTTTCTTTGTTTTAACTTTTTTTTGCGGAATTACATATCGTTTCTAGAAAACATGATCACTTCTAAAAACATAGTGCCTCTTTACTGCCGTTTGTTCCCATCAGAGCTCACACGAGGTATTACAAATGTGCCCTAAGAGGTGGTGAGGCGGGGCCCTCCTTCGGAGCCGAACGCCGTTACGAGCCTGCTCTGTGCGGATGTAGGCTGGGACCTGAACGTGATGAGCCTTTTTGGTCCAGGTTTGCTTACTAGGTTTCTGATCTAGTTGCGTCTGGTCAGTTCCGCACTCCAGGTTCTGTTCTTTACATAGTTCTCCCCGCCACCTACTTTTTTTTGGCCTTGCTCTTCCGCTTCTGGGGCTCTGCCCGCGGGGTCTGCCTGGAGGCCTGAAACAACACTTGTCCCTCTGACTCTCCCCGACCCTCTCCCGGGCCAGCAGGCCCAGCAGACACGTGGCCCGCGAAGGGCAGCGGCTGCTCATGTGGGCATTGTTTTGTTCTGCGGTACCACGCTCCCCTGCAGTCCAGCCTGCTGTCTGTCACCTGCCTATATGTTTTAGGGTTTTGTTACCAGCAGCCCCCCACTTCAAGATACTTATTTCTGTGTCTGTCAGGGTTCAGTCAGGAAAACAAACTACTCCAAGCGGGAAGGGCTTCATCGCAGCGAATTAGATATGAAACCATTGTCTCTGCTGGGGCGAGGTGGTGGCTGCAGAGCTGGGGAAGGTCGCTGTTAGCTTTCGGGAGATCAGGACACGTAAGACTGTGGGAAGCTGCCCCTGACCTCGGGTCGGCTGGGCCTTCTGTGGGACCAGGGAGGGTGACTTTCAGGAGAATGCCCCGAGGCTGCTGGTGCCCGAGCCTCGCAGTCCCAGCCGGCCTCCCGCCTTCTGCTTCTCAAGTCCGGTGGGGTCACTGAGCCTCTCATCCTGGCCAGGATCCGGGTCCCGGTTCCCAGCTATGGAGCAGGCAGCGTAGACTGGAAGGAGCGGGTGCTTGTCGCCAAAACACAAAATGAAGAGGACACTGAACCTTAGCAAGAGGAGAAATGAGCCTCGATATGTGTATATGTGCTCTTGGATCATCTTACTGACAAAGCATCTTGCTGTCTGGAAACATGTACAAAATATATGCAAAAATAAAATTTTCTTCTTATAATTGTTTTTATTTATAGGCTACAAAGCAATTGGCAAAATAGGAGAGGGAACATTTTCTGAAGTGATGAAGATGCAGAGCCTGAGAGATGGAAACTATTATGCATGTAAACAAATGAAACAGCACTTCGAAAGGTAGGTGGTCAGAGACACATTTGAGACTAAATGCAGACACAGGTTTAAATCAATAAGGGCAACTTACTATTAGTGGGAAGAATGTATTCATGTAATAATCTGCAGGATACAATCAGTTTTCTCTAGGTAGTGAGGATTATGGGCTAATTTGATATTAGTCATTCTGGATTTTATTTTTGTCCCAGTTTACTGTATTATCAATGATTAATCATCACAAAAACTTAAATTGTAAAAGTATGCCTCACTTTAAGCGGTCTGTGTTCCTGAAAGTTGTGTGTGCGTGGGACTTTTATAAATGAAACTTTAGTCTAAATGTATTAGAGGTCCTTGTGGTTTAATTAATTGTGACTCAGTTAACATATTGAAAAATAATTTCCAAGCGGGGTTGGAGAAATTTATTCCCTGGGAGTGATCAGTCGCCAGCCGTGTAGAGAGGGGGTGTCTCTAGATTAGCCCCCCGGAGGACTGCTGTGCTCCCCCCTCAGAGCAGCCTCTTAGAGTCTTGGAGTTTGCAGCTTAACCTGATCACGTCAACATCGCACTCAGAATAACCGAGTCAAGGCTGGCTTCCCTGCAACTGTTAAGCTTTTCAATAAAGAGGTTTGGAGCTCAGTGTTTCTTTTTTAATATCAAAGGGATTGAAACCTCTAAATATCTAAAGCACGTTTTTTAAAGCCTACTGACTCCCCACATAGATGCAGGGCTTTTGGAAGTATTTGGGGGTATGAACCTTGATTTCAAGCTCTTAGTATGAAAAATTGTTTCTCAGATCAGGGAGTATAGGACACTTAATGGTGCCAAAGAGTCTGGAGGACAGTCACGTCACCCTCGTGCCATCCCCACGGGATAGTGATAATCATCCCTGTTCTGCACATGAGGACAAGTGCTTAGAGATGTGAAGTAATTTGATAATTGTCACTCTGGGTCACTAGGTGGGCAGAGCCATATTTGAATCCAGATTCCTCGTTCCTCCCTGCACGTGGCGTGTGGCCATTTTAGCTGCCACCGCCCAAACTCTTCTGCTTTTGTCCGTTCTGTCTAGTCTGCTTTTGTTTCTTTATCTGTCCCCCACTCCATCTTTACCTTGAAACTCCTCGCAATGGAGAATGTGATGCCGAGTGTACTGCTTTTCCTGTATCTGAAGAGCAGACTTCCTCAAACAGCCCCCTTGGAGGAACGCACCGTCAGTCCGGAGTGGCCGAGAAAGGATGGGTAGCAGCAGGCTGTGAGGCGTTTGCAGGAGTCCCTGTCAGGTCCCACTGTCAGGTTCGGCGGGGGGCGGCGGGGGGGGACGTACTCACAGATGACAGGACTTGCCATCTGTTATTTTGGTGACGAGACCAGTATAACAAGTGGACTGGATCCAGAGCCTACAGACTTCAAGCACTCGCGAGGTCGTTGCTGTGTCGGAATGATGCACAGGTTCGGCCACTCTGTGGAGCCAGTGTTAGGGAGAGGCCCCACCTGGTCTCAGGTGCGCCCTCAGGAAGGTCGAGATGTCTGTAACACATTTCAGAAGTGTTTCCATCAAGGAAGATCAGGATGCGTCGGAGGGCGGGGACACTCGGTTGACGTGCAGAAGGACCTCCGTGTAACCTCAGTCCCTCGGGAGAATGTCCATTACATAAGGGGTGTGGTTTCCCAGTGGTGACCCACCCCGACACAGCGGAAGTGCAGCCCTCGTGCACCCCAGCCCGGCGTTCTTCTGACGAGGGGCTTGAGGCCCAAACGGGGGAGGGCGGGAAAGCAGCTGGCAGTGCAGCCTCGCTGCTGTGCGCGTGGGAGTTTGACGGTCACAGACCACGCTCTTCACCTTCGCTGTAAAGGGGGTTGATTAGTGACTTGCTTCTAAAGAATAGAAAACAAAAAGAGAAAGATAGTAACTTTACAGCGAGAAACCTGAAGGTACCGCCCTAACCGAATGATGAGAAGTTCTACGGCCACGCCACCCTGAACAGGCCCGATCCCATCCGGTCTCGGAAGCTCAGCAGGGTCGGGCCTGGTTAGTCCTTGGATGGGAGACCACCTAGGAAGACCAGGTGCTGTAGGCATTTAAAAAAAGAAAGAAAGAAAAAAAGAAAAGAAACGCCATAGAGAGTGCTCGCTGATGTGACGGGGTGGGAAGGCGTGTCCCCTCACGGTCCGCCCCCCACAGACCCGCAGCCTGAGAACACATCAGACGGACCCACACGGAGGAGTGTTCTCCAAAATATCTGCCCAGGACTCCTCAGAGCTGTCCAGGTCATGGAAAACAAAGGACAACCGTGTAACTCACACGTGGAGGTGGCCAAGGGGACAACCTGACTGCGGTGTACTGTCCTTGATCCTGGAAGAGAAAAAGACCTTAGCGGAAAATGGGAGACTGTCAGAGTATCTAGTTAACAGAGTGTTCGTGCCGCTGTCAGCTTTCTGCTCCGATCAGCGCTACGCACGAGGTCGACACGAGGGGAAGCTGGGCGAAGGGGACCTCTGTGCCACCCTTCCAGCCTGCTCGTGGTCGAAACGACCCGAGAATGAACAGTAAAAGCAAGTCAAAACCAGCGAAAGCAGCCCGAGAAGATCGGGAATGACATGCGTTGCTCGTAAGCTTCTTCCGTTGCTAAAGGTGTTGCTAATATTAATGAATTATAGGAGGAAATTACTCTATGATTTCTTCTAGAAAGATAACTGCTTTGTGTCACTTCTAGGAGTGAGATCGCTAACAACTCGTTGCATGTTCCAGTGTCACTGGGATTTGATCCACAAGTTTAATGCTGTTCTTTGGTTCTGTTTCTGTTTTTTAACCGTGGAAATATTGTTTCTGGCCTTTAGAGTTTGGAGCATCTGTCATCATTGTTAAACAGTTGACTCTTGTGCACTTGAAGAATGCTTTTAGGTTCCTTTCAGAAGCCGTTCCTGCCCCACTCATCGTTGTCCAGGCGAGTGCTCGGGGTCCCCCTGCACAGTGCGGGCAGTGTGAGGGACTCGAAGTGGGGGCTGCAAAGTCACGCTGGGTCTGTGGCCAGGCGCGGCGGGTGCTTGGCGCCTCCGACGCCCGCCCCCTCCAGTTTGACTTCCACCCTCTCCTTCCGCTTTTACAGAAATGGAGATCGATAGCTTTCTAGCGTCCTCGCTCGGTCTCTCTTCAGAACGTCCTCCCACCTGGTCGCACCAGAAGTACACAGTTCATGAGAGCCTTTCGCTCCTGTGACTGTGCTCTGTATTCTCTGTGGAACTATTATAAGAAGTGGAATGAATCTGTTTTTAAAAACATCCCTGGTCTCGATGTTCGTGTCCTGCAGCGGTGAGGTTAGCACACAGGCGCGCGTCCTGGCAGCTCGGGGCGGCCAGCTCGGACTCCGCGTGCCAGCACTTCCTCTTCCTGTCACGTGACCTTGCGTGGTTCCGTACTCCCTCCGTTTCTTTATATGTACCATGGGGAGAACCATGGCGTCGAGCGAACCTCATAGGATCATGGTGAGGGTAAAACGAGGCAGATGACGTGCTTAGCAAGGTGCTGGCACACGGTAGTAAATCAGCTGGTCGGTAACAGTGCGAGTTAGCAGAGTTCGAAGACACTTTTGAAAATGGAAGTGAGTAGCAGTGATGATAAGTCTGATTCCAGCGATTGCTCGCTAAGCAGCTGCCGCCGTGCCAGCCCCTGGCGAGAGGTGCCCTCTTTCAGCTTAGGGGACCGTGCTTTAGAGAGAGCCATTCCCCAGCCTGCTCGGTGTCGCCCAGCCGGCAGGTGTTAGAGCCCCGTGTGTGGGTCCATTACTGGCAACTCATGTCTCTTCTGTGAAACTTGCAAGAGTATCTATTCTTAAATGTTTCACATAACTCACCAGTGAGATCATCTGGGTCTAGAAGTCTTTGTGGGGAGGATTGCCCCATCCTGAGATGTTATTACAACATCGTTCATGGGGGTGAGAAGCTGGAAACAAGGAAGTAGTGGAGTGGGTGGTACATGGTCCGTCCGTAGCATGGAACGCTGAAGAATCTAATATGCCAAATGATTTGGATTGTCGTAAGATTTTTAAAAAGCTTTATTGACATATAATTTATATATCATTTACACATCATAAAATCCACCCATCGTAAGTGAGTTTCAGGAAGTTTTCACAGTTGTGCAACTGTCGCCATAATCCCGGGTTTGAACACTTCCGCCATCACCTGCGAGGAGGCTTTGGATGACAAAGCCTGCTTCTTTGATAAACACAGGACTATTTTTGATTTTCAATTTTACTTTTTTACATCAGATTCGATAATTACGTTTATCCAGGAACTGACCATTTAATCTGAATTGTCATATTCATTGACATATAGTTGTTCATAATGCTTCCTTATTGTCTTTTTAATATCAAACTGTAGAGATGGCCCTTTCGTTCTTGATACTGGTTGGTGGTGGTGGTTCATGTCTGTTTCTCTGTCGCTCTTGCTTAGGGGTTTATCACTTTTATTACTCTTCTCAAGGAACCAGCTTTGGGCGTTGTAAACTTTCTCTGTTGTTTGCCTATTTTCTGTTTCCTTGAATTCTACTCTTTATTATTGCTTTTCTTCTACTTACTTCGGGTTTAATTTAACTCCTCTTACTCCACTTTCTTAAGGTGCACACAAACCCTTGACTTTAACCGTCTCTTCCTTTCTAACATAAGCACTGAAAGAAGATGCCAGAAGGCACCTTTTATCTGCCCGCTTCGAACTGTGCTGTGCCGCGCCGCGCCTGCTTTATTACGTGGTTCGAAATGTTTTCCAATTTCCCTTGACTTCCTCTTTACCTGTGGGTTCTGGACAGGCGCGTTGCTTAGTTTGCAAGTATTTGGGCCTTTTCTAGGTAGCTGACTCCTAGTGATTTCCGATGTACGTCCATGTGCTCAACAGACATGCTCTGTAGGGCCTTCAGTCTCGTGACAGTCATGGAGACTTGTCTTCGGGTCCAGCATGCTGTTCGTCTGAGTGAGCGTTCCCTAGATTCTTGAAAAGCATGTCCTTACACTCAGACTCTTAGCCCTTCTTACAGATCAGGCTCCCATTTGTTGGCTAGCGTGAGAGAGACTTAGAACATTCGGCCGTGTTGATTTAAAACAATAATAATATACTGTTGGGTATAACCACTCTTTGAATAACCTGACAAAATGCTAAGCTTTACACTGTATACTAAAAGTTAGCAGAACAGTTTCACCAGTTCAGAGAAAGAAGATCATTCCCACAGCTTCTTTTCCCTTTTCGTGTGAGGGTCTGTCTGGAGGCAGGGCCACCTCAGGCTGTCGGCCTTGTACACTTGTGTTGGCCTGATTTTGGTTGAGGACGCTATGTCAGGCAGAGCAGTCTGCTTAAAGAAAAGCCTGCAGTAAGACACACCTGAGAAAGCACCTGTCATCAGGTGAATGAAATGGAAACAATGTAGAGCCTTTATTAGGGAGGAGAAGGAAGGGTGGGTCTGTTTGTGGAAATTTAAAGTGCTTATTTTAAAGTGGTACTTACATTGCTTGATTAGTTTCCATAAACCGATTAAAGGACATTTTAATGTCTGTGTTTGTTAATTGTAAAAGAAACTACCAAGGTATTCTTTCAGGAGCTTGGATGGTAAAAATTTGAATATTTGTCCAAAGCTACAAGAACCCGATTTTTATAAGATAATGCAGAAACACGATATGCTTAATTTCAATTGCTAATGGGAGAAATAAAACCTGATTAACTTGCTTGAAATATTTGTTTTTCAGTTGTGATAATAAATAATGATTTAATAACCCTAATTTTAAAGTTGACCTAAATTACAAATTAGTTATTTATTTTTGCCTACACACAGTGTTGAGCAAGTGAACAGTCTGCGGGAGATACAAGCACTGAGACGCCTGAACCCCCACCCAAACATTCTTACGTTGCACGAAGTGGTTTTGTAAGTATATTCGGGGCTTTTAAAATTACCTAAATTTGATGATAATGATTAAATCTCTTTTTAAGAAAGAAAACCATGGTAGACATTTTAGACATTTGCTCTGTAGCTCAGAGAGTAATGATTTTATCTTAAGTGACATATTTATTTGGACAGGGGTGTGCCTGATTTCTAATATGGAATGCCTTCATGTAGGTGATTTTATGTCACAAAAGTGTACACAAGTCACATGGCTCCTCTTCTGTGGGGAGAGTGGCAGCTCTTGGCACCCAAGGCCTCGAGCGTGAATCGTGATCCCTGGGGAAGCACTGTTGTCACACCTCAGGGACTGTCCTTTTCCTTGCCAGTTGCCATGTCTGTACAGTCTCATGGGGCCCTTACTGTAACTGAAATGGTTTTGGGGGGCTTCATTTCTGTTCCAAACGTAAAATGATTTTCATAAGGTTTACATACTGTTCAGGAAGGCAGGGCCCTGCCGGCCGCCAGGTGCTGGCTGCTGTGCACCGCACTCGGGGACCCTGAGCCAGGCTGGCGGGGAGTCCGGCCCCGCCTCTCTGCGGGCGGCATGTGCTGGCCCCGAGGAGGAGGAGGTGGCAGGTGAGCTGGCCTCGCTGCAGCGCCCAGACCAGCCAGGGACACGGTCTCCCACAACCGCAGTGCAGCAGGCTCTCATCAGAGGGAACGGTTTTACACTCGGAAGAAAGTGCCTTGTCACAGCTGTGTGGCCTCCGGGCCTGTGGCGTCCTGAGCCGTCAGTCTGGGCCGGGTCCAGAGACCGCAGCCTGCATGTCACGCTCAGCACTGCCTGCGCTAAGGTGCCTCTCTTGCACTTTACAAAGCGCTTCTGTCCAGACTCGCACAGTGGGGCACCCTGAGCCGGGGCTAGGGTGACACACACTGCCCTGCCTGGCGCTCGGGGATCCCTTTAAAGGCTCTGAACTCCGGAGAAGCTGGCAGCTCAGCCAGAGGCCCTGTCCCCACTGTGTGAGGCCCGGGCATTGCACTGGGTGATGTCACACGTCTTTCTCCCTTTTCCCTGACTGGTGTTTGGATTCCGCTCACCCCACTGTAACGTGTTCCCATTACACGGGAGTAATTTAGGTGAATTAAAACTAAAATTGCAGTCACAGGGCACGAGGTAAATTCCTCTGTTTGTCCTGCTTAGCCGAGTCCCAGCCTCATTTCTTCTCTCTCCTGAGAGTTCATTTTATATTTTCAAGACACGTCTTCAAAAAATGGGGGAGGGAGGCTTGTAGAATATTTGCTTAAAGTAGGGTTTTACTGTTACTTTAATTTTACCTGAAATATTGATTTAAAATTAAAACTTCTGTTTCAATCATTCTATTTTGGTCTCTGTCTGATATTGGAAGTGCTTTATTTTTACCAGAAATGTTTACAAATGAATTAAATGTTTGATTATATTTTTTGATTAAGACACGAAAAAACCTGCTTTTTTCTTCAGTGACAGAAAATCTGGTTCTCTTGCGTTAATATGTGAACTTATGGACATGAATATTTATGAGCTAATACGAGGTATGTGGAATAATTTGAAAGCTAATCTAAGATCTTCTTTTAAAGCTTGTAGTTAACACATACTTTGTTTTAGTTTTCAAAATCATTAGTTTCTTTAGCCCAGTGGTTACATATAAATGTGCAGTGCCAGAGGGATTTCCTGCCATCTCATCCGCTCAGGACACAGCCGAGCATGAGAAGTAGAGCCACCAGGCCATCGGATTGGCCAGCGATGTGGATGAGGACAGTGCAGAGGACAGCAGGGTCTGTTCGAGCCTTTTCCCCCGCGGGTCCGTGCGGACAGAGAGGCGGTGCAGCCAGGCCTGCCCCTCACCAAGGCCGCTGTTCTCCCGCACTCTGCTGCCCGTTGTCTTCTGTGCCTTGAAGTAAGGCGGGGCTTTCCCCCCAAGTAGTTCCTCGAGTGAGAGGGAACCGCCTTCCATTTGGACCCTGACAAAGTCCTCTGTATCGGAGGCTGCTCATCCAGTCACTTTCTTTTGAACAATGGGCACTGTTCGGGAAAGCCTGGTGGCCCGGGCCAACCTCAGTCAGGGCTGAGGAGGCTTCCTGAGGTCATTCACGAGAGGGGAACAGAGAAAAGGAGGCAGAGAGCTGGCCCACATTCAGCACCTATCCCCGGGGGTGTGACCTCACAGTTGTGTTAGTTGTCAGCACAAATGAGCCTTGTAAATATCACCGAGGAAGCAGTGCAGGAAGTGTTGTTTTGCAGGTCACATTGTGCCTGTCGGACAAATGAAAAAAAAAATCAACCTCCTTAACATCATGTGGGTGATTGCTCATAGCTTGGAACAGAATTTTAGTGACAGCATCATAGATGATTTAAAAACTGCTACATCATCTCAAACGATTCAGGCCAAACTGAAGATGATGTGCTGTGGACTTCCAAAGCTATTCTTGTGATGAAGAAGGCACTGATGCCGAAGGTGCACGTGATGAGTGCTGATTAAGCCGTTTTTATGAAGTGGAAACGTGGGGAAAAGCGTGGTATCAAATATGCTTTGCATGTGATTTAAAAAATGTATTTTAGTAAATTACTAATAAAAGACTTAGACTAAGTGGGCACATTTTTCTGCATCCACGAAAGTTGGTGTAAAACTTTTGATCCAAAAGCTTTTGGATCTTTTTGGGAAAATAGGAGATTGCCTTACATCTGGGAATGTAGGGCATTTCTTAGAAGTTACAGACCTTGTGTGTTTTATTCATAGGTAGGCCCCTCGCTCAGTTTAGTATTGTTTTAAGTGCATTTCTAACAAACTTATCTGGTTTCTTGGTCTAGAGAAACTTGTTAAAATTGAGCTCTTAGAAGGAGCTTCTAGAACTTGGTGCAGTAGCAGAAAGAGACAGGTGGCAGTCCCATGGTGGGGAAGACTGAAAATAGAAACACGAACATGTACAAGAGACTGACAACAACAACAACAACACACGAGAGCGGTCTGGACACCGGCCGGGAGTCTTCTGACTCCCCAGGACAGGCGCGCGAGCCCGGCCACACCACCTTCGTACACCTGGACGGGCAAGGCAGGAAAGTGGATCAAGTGTTTTTAAAAGAGCCCCATTTAAAATGATTACCGTAGAGAAGCACTTATGTTCAAGGAGTAAACTTGACCTGGGAGTCCCGGTTAGGCACCAGCCCTGGTGAGTGAGGTGCTGCCGTGTGATGCATTTCCTGGTGCACTGTCTGACGTAGCCTCTTCCCTCTAACCCTCTGTGTGTGGACATGTGACACAGGCCAGGGCAGCAAATCCGACCAAGGAGCAACACTCAGCTTTACCAGTTCGTTCACAATGATCTTTTCACCAATAAGCCAAGATTTTACTTTTTAATGAAACTACGTAATCACTTTCTTTGTTAGTAACAGTTCTCTCGGCGTGAGACTTATGTTAGAATTCCAAGCGTTGCTTCCTAGAGCGGGTGTTTCAAAACTCGAGGGGAGGGGGCAGTTTCGGCAAGTTTCTATGTGCTCAGACCTTTGAGAAAGCTTTGTTTAGAAATATCTCATTTTCAGTAGCAGGGAATTATAAGTGGAGAAATCGCACCCATTTCTTTCAGTATGTCTACAGAGAGGGACCGTGGACAGCAGACCGTGATGGTATAGATGAGCGGACACCCGCTCGTTTCATGAGTGCTGGGTGTCGTCCAGGCGCTGTGCTCGGTGCAGTGGACCTCCGGTGCTGCCAGCGGGAGGGGGCGGCTGGCTCCGGGGCGTGAGAGCGTGGGGGACGCCGACACCTGCTGTCACACCCTGAGTACTGCAGCATGCATCCTGAGTTTAGAGTTGTTATGGGGGACGAGGGGTCTGCCTTAGACCTGATGGAATACAGCGACAGTGGTACTTGCCAACCGTCCGTGACGCCAGCTGCAGGCCAGGCCCTGTCCTTAGCGCTTTATAGGAATTAACTCATTTTACCCTCACAACAGCCCAGCCAGGCAGATGTTGTCATTACCCCCGTTTTAAAGATGAAGGAGTAGAGGCACCGAGAGGTTAGTAGCTTGCCCGAGGCTCCGTACATAGTGGTGGAGCTGGGGCTCGAACGTAGCCCGGTCCCCGAGTGCATGTTCTCAACTGCCTCGCACGCTGCGTCTTGACAGCCCTGTTTGGTTGGCACTATTGTTATCACCCCCAGTTTACAGATGAGGAAACAGACTTGAAGGATTAAGTAATAACCCGAAGTTAAGCTGTTAATACATGGCAGAGCCAGAGCTTGAACCCGCGTGTGGCCCTGGAACCTCAACCGTTGTGCATGGTGGCTGGCCTGGGTCCCTCTCTCTTCCCGGCCGAGCTCAGCGCCGTGGACGAGTAGACACTGACTGATGATTTGCTTTTGCTGATGATACTGACTTATTGAAAACCAGATCAATCGCTTAAGCTTTTTCTACTAGAATAAGAAAGAATTTCACTCAAACCACCACTCTCGGACTGTCAGAATATCAGAACGTTAACCGCCGAAGCGCCTGTCGGTGACGTGAGCGGCCCCGCAGCGTGCAGTGAGTCGTCTCCGATGTGCGCAGCAGTTTCAGCGTCTGGGGAAGGCAGAGAAGACGCGAGGAAGATGTGTGTTTTCGAATGCAAAGAGCATAGAGTTTACTGTAGAGACAAACCACGAAAGTGAAGTCGTGAGATAATGAGTTGCTCGGGTTAATTCTCTTTTTGTCCAGTAGGTGTCAGATGAGGCAGAGGGGGACCATGGGCTTTAGGTACAAGCTCTCATGGAAAGTAGGAAAATGAGAGAAACACAGGAGAGGCTGTCTCCTTCACCATGACCTGCCACGGCTGCTCCCAGTGCGGGGACACAGTGGGGAACAAGCAGACAGCCCCCACCCACGTGACCGCACACCCTGATGAGGAGAGAGACGGCGAAAACAAATGACGAGTCCCAGACAGGGCTGTTGTAGGTGAATCTGCAGGCTGCGGTGTTAGAGCAGGGTGGGGACAGAGTGTTCCTGACAGAGGGACAGCGAGTGCAGAAGCCCTGTGGCCACTGTGAGGTGAGAGGCCCCAGCGGGGCAGCAGGAGGGGAGCGTGCTGGTAGGGCTGGGCGCGGTCTTCCGAGTTCGACCGGAAGCCGTTAGTGGGGTTGGAAGCCGGGACGGTGTCTTTTGATTGATGTTTAGACCAGTGCGTCTGAAGGTATCTAGGGTGGAAGACCAGGTTTGTTTACTCTGTCGTGGACCAAAGCATTTACAAGACACAGTAAATATCACCAGCAAACTGGCCATGTGCTTGGACGTCACAGCAACATTGAATTGTTGCAGAAGTTTCCAAACAGTCACTCATAATTTCTGCCATCTCCTCTCAGACCAGCAACTGTCCCTGGGCCAGCGTCAGCTGAGGACCGTGCTGGCTGCCGCCCCTTCAGCTGCGGACCACAGCATCTAACCCGCACGCGGTCCACTCAGAGGGGTTTGTCATGTGCTGCAGGGAGCGGACTGAATCGTTGGGAGGGCTGAAGAAACAGGCTCTAGGCCTAGCCCCTAGGAAGTGGCTTCCAGAAGCAATCCCACGCTGTGGGCGGCCGAGGCCGCTGCAGCCACCAGCTCTAGAGCCACACAGCACCACTGCCAGGGTCGGAAGGCGCCTCCACCGTCATCCACGCCTCCAAGTGGGGGTGCCCCCTCCTCCTCTCGGCCCCCAGGACTCGGGTCTGGTCACCTTTCCCAAGCGGTCCCACGTGCGGGATCCAGGCCATGTCTGGACCCTACGCTGCAGGGCAACTGAAGAACGCCGTTTGACTTTTAGCCGGACGTGCCACGGGGCCTGGGATGGGCCTGCGGGGTGCGCGTGGGCCGGGAATGGCCGTGTGGGGAGCTGCCCATCAGATCGGGGGTGTTTATCTGGTGCACTGCACTCAGGGCTCTGGGAGCGTCGCAGAGGCTGTCCTGGAACGTGGGCGAGGGACGTGTGACCGCCACCGCGTCACAGAGGCTGTCCTGGAATGTGGGCGAGGGACGCGTGATCACCACCACGTCACAGAGGCTGTCCTGGAACGTGGGCAAGGGACGTGTGACCGCCACCGCGTCGCAGAGGTGTCTGCCCTTTCACGACGTCGTGGCTGGTCCTGCCCTCCTGTTCAGCCGTCTGAGCGACCTGGCTCTGTGGCCGGTGGCCGGCTGCCGGCCGTGTCCCTGCTCCCGCCGTCTGCGCACCCCGCCTTGCTCATCTCAGGCGCTCTGCCTGGCACAGGTCTGCTGCTTCGTCGTTTGTCCTGTCTCCACGGGAGCGTCCGCTCTGGCAGTGGGGCCCTGTCAGCCCCATCGCTGGTGCCCTCTGAGTGCCCAGCACTGTCCTCGTGGTACAGGGTCTCCACGGGAGCGTCCGCTCTGGCAGTGGGGCCCTGTCAGCCCCATCGCTGGTGCCCTCTGAGTGCCCAGCACTGTCCTCGTGTGGTACAGGTGTCAGGAGTCCACTGCATGATGTGTTTGGACGTGGAGTGCCGCAGTTAGACTGTTTTCCCCGCAGGGAGCCAAGCAGGTCAGCTCACTCTTGGCAGAGGAAGGCGCTCGCTGTGAACCCCCAGGCCTCCTGCAGTGAGCCCAGCCGGGCTCCAGGGACGTGCGGCCAGGAAAGTTCTGATCGGGAGGCCATCGCTGACTGCCTCAGGGCCACGGGGCACCCCCCTCCTCGCCCGCACCCCTCCTTCTCTCCCGGCAGGCTTGGCCACCCAGACCCTGGGGCCTCAGCAGAGGGCCCGGCCCAGAAACCCCAGCCCCAGGCCACCTTCTGGAGTGCGGGCAGTTCCGGGTGGGGCTGGCCTGGTTACTTGAGGGTGATGACTTTTAGAGACTGGGTGGGACAGACATCTTGAGATAAATCCATGGCACTGGGAGTGAACCAAGTAGGAACGAGCAAGCGAGCTCGATACCGGTGCCCGCGGCACTGCAGTCCAGCCCCACGCTCCGCCGGCCCGGGTGCCAGGGCACCGTGCAACGTGGCAGCTGTTCTGTGTGACAGCGCACTGGCGGACTCGGCCAGTCACGTTTTATAGCTCATCGAATCGGACCCACCGATTGAGCGATGCACCATTTTTTATGTACCAACAACAAATAAAACACTGCCGGCTCCGCTCAGACACAGCTCTCTTCACACTGAGTTAGCTTCGTCCTTATTAACGGAGCTCCCTTGGACTACTGGGACGGCCCGCCACCATCGCGTCGGGACACGTGTGAAAAGGAAAGTCCAAGCGGAATGAATCGGCTACGGCAGTCCTCACTTCCTTGAGACACGTTGACGCACAGTGACGATGTCTGCTTTCCTTCCGCGGTCAGCCTCTGCGCCATCAGAGTGTGCGTGATGTGGCGTCTTTGTCTCTGGAGTTTTCTCTCAAGCCGACGGCACCATCCTGGGCGTTCAGCGCGGGTGCGTCTGGGAAGCACCGTCTAGTTTGGCTCTGTTGACGCAGCTCAGTCTCCACTTCGTAGAGCGACGTGGGGTCGGAGCGTGTGGTGCTGTGTGTGTCAGTCACAGTGGGTCCTGGTGGGCTCTTTGCGCCCCCGTCCCGTCTATAAATGGGGGCACTGGAGTGTCTGACTCTGAGGGCTGTTGTGAGGGTTACATAAAAATGTGTGTGACGTATACGTGACGTCCCCAGAGCAGCGCCCGGCTGGCAGCCTTCAGTCAACGCGGCCGCTGTCGCTCCGCAGCTTGCAGCATAGCTCCGCTGCGCTGCCGAGGCGAGGGCACCGGCCTTCACCGAAGTCCGAGCGCTCTCCTAGGCTGAGCCAGCTACGGCGAGCAGACCTAGGGGGACCCCGTCCTTGAGTGTCGCCGTGCTGGATGAGAGAGGGGTGCTGCTGACGGCTCGGGCCCCACACTGCCTCTGACTCCGTCTCTGCTGGTCACGGACTCTAACCTCTCAGAACAGTGTACCGTAAGGCGAGCCTCTCCTTTGGAAAATATGGATGGAGTGTGTGTGCAGCATGGTGCCGTGGGGCACGGCCTGGGGGCGGAGGCGTGTCCAACGGGCCGCTTGGCGGTGCCGTGGTGGGCCCCAGTGTGCATCTCCAGGCCTGAGCAGCAAAGCCGGGCACAGGCCTGGGGACGGGGGCTCTTGTGGGAAGGGGTGTGCTGGATACTGTCGCAGTGCAGCCTGCACTGCCAGCGTAGTCACTCAGCGAGTACTGACAGCGACACCTCGGTTTATCATCGTGTTCACTCAGTTTTCACCGGACGAGCGCTGTGCGTGACGTTCCTCAGGATCTTCTTAATGAGACTATTTGGTAAAGATTAACATGAAACAGTTAACTTGGTCAGGATGGCTAAAACAGACAAGGGCGCCTGGCTTCGCTTCAGGCAGGGGTGCTCACGGAGCGGGGGGCGGGGAGCACTGGGTCCTAACTCCTCAGGGCCACCAGTAGGTCAGGGGTACCCAGGAGGAAAGGAAGGGCGGGCCCCCGAAGAGGGCTCCTGTCCTGGGGACTGAAGGCAGCCGAGAAACGCAGGACCAACGATGTCAAATGGGAAGTGGTTTTTTTGAATTGTCACGTGAGAATGATCATCCTGTAGATTTAAAACTTAATAGCTTAAAACACACACCTTCAAAATTAAAATCAAGTGAAACGTGACATCTTCTGGAACCAGGATAACTGACGCTGGCGTGTAGTAAGCGTTTTCGATCGCCATACGAAGCTGCAGGGAGGAAGGTGTGGGTCGCAGGGTGGGGACCGCACTGGCACGCTCAGGTGCTCGGCGGGTGCCACGTGATCTCTGCCTCTGTCAGGGAAGAGTGGGCTGTGGAGTCAAAGCCGTCCCTGGCCTTCTGGGATTAAAACAAGGTGCTTCTGCTGAACTGTGACCTTCCCCTTTGGAAAGGAGGCCGCCACCTAGACAGAAGCCTCAGAAAACACTGGGTTTGCAAGCGAGCCCTAACGACTCAGTCAGCGGTTCGAAGGAGGGCGTCCTGGGGGAGGCGCACCCTGAGGCCCGAGTTAGGTGTGTCAGACCGGCCGCGCTCGCGACTCTCACGGGTGCTGTGTGCGCTGCCACCAGAACGCGTGTACTGGGAGGTCGCAGAGGAAATGGAGCCAGTACGTAGAGCTCGCAATGGGTCCTCTTGTAGGTACACTTCATGTTTCCTGTAAAACGACTTCAGATTATTTTTCACAGAGGAAGTTAGATTTTCACACATCATTAAATAAGAATGGATTCTATTTTTGATTTCAAAAGAGGGGATGAGTACCATTGATGACCATATTTGGCTATTTCTTTCATCACACAGGGAGGAGACACCCATTATCAGAAAAAAAAATTATGTGCTACATGTACCAGTTATGCAGATCTCTTGATCACATGCACAGGTACGTTCAGAGACGTGGCGGCTCTCGGTCGATCCAGTGTGTGAACATTCGGTAAACTTGCAACATGAAAGAATTTGAGTGACTGAGGTACAATTAATTCTATCTTTCCTTTTATGTCGAATGCAGAAATGGAATATTTCATAGAGACGTAAAACCGGAGAATATATTAATAAAGGTAAGGACTTTTATATGAAAAATTGATCTCAGAATAAAGGTAGAAAGAACATAAAAACTTTCCACTGGATACTCTCGCAATCCCGGCTAGCTGGGCAGCGGGTTTGCTGTAGTTTCTCTCCTCCTCCCAGTTTGGAAAAAAGTTTTTATTTAATGTCATTAACATAACCATACATCTAGAAGAAAATAGTCTCAGGCACCCTTCTCATACTGTCTACAAAAACAAGCTCCGTATCGTTCTAAACACTCTAAGCGTAAACATGCAAGAATCAGAATTTGAGCTGGGGTCTGTCTCACTCCAAAGCCACGTAAGCTACACGAAGTGCACAGCTCGGTAAGTTTCGGCATATTTATTCACCCACGAACCCATCATCACAGGCATGTTCGTGAACACGTTCCTCACCCCCAAAAGTGTCTTCCCACTCCTTGTCCCAAAGCCAAGGGTGACTGACTTTCTGTCATTATAGAATTAGTTTGCGTTTTCTAGGATATTCTCTAAATGGAATTAGGCACTTTTTGGTCTTTTTTGGTCTGGCTTCTGTGACTCAGCGTCATCACGTGGGGACTTGTCCGCGTCCTGTGGGTGCGCCCCATCTGTTGAAGTGACCCCGCGGTTCCCGGGAGTTCTGTTCTGTTTCTGCCATTCTCGTGTTCTCTTTGCATCTCATTTGGAGAGTTCCTCTTGGCCTCTCTTCCAGCTCCCCGCCTCTTTCCTGGGCTGTATTCAGTGCATTAATGAGCCTAGGAAAGTCATTTTTTTTTCCTGTTAGTGTTTTCTTTTATTTCTAATGTTTTCTTTTGATTCTTTCTTAGAGTTATCACTCTGCTGATATTTCCCTGAACTTGCATGTTTACTTTTAGAGCCCTTAACAAATTAATCACAGCTATTTTAAATTCCCCACCCAATCATTCTAAAATTCTAACGAATGTGCCATATCTGAATCTGGTTCTGATGCTTGCTTTGTCTCTTCACCTGTGTTCTCCTGGCCTTTTAACATGCATTATAATTTTTGTTGCGAGCCCATGTGATGTATCAGGTGATGGGAACAGAGGCAAAGGTCAGTGGAGTGAGGTTTTTTGATAATCTGGCTGAGAGATATGCTGTGTTTAACGTTCACTGTAGCTGCAGCTTCCAGAGGCTTCTAAGTTGTTGACAGCTTGTATTTGATTACCTGAATGTGAGAGATTAAGAAAATGGAAGAAACGTCCCAAGCCCCGCCTCCCTGGCCTGTCTGACACGCTCCACAGAGCCCACGGGCGCGAGCCGGCCCCGAGCGGCGATGGGAAGTGTGGGCATAACAGGCGCGGGACTGCGGTGGAAATCCACTCGTACACTCATGCTGCTGCTTAAAATTTTCCAGTGTCGGCCGGCATTTGGAAGTATGTGTAAAACGTAAGTGGAATTCTTGTAAGCACATTCCACTGAACAGAAACACTGCTTCCTCCCCTGTTAGAGGCACAGTTAGGTGCTTAGAAAGCCAGGCATTTGTATTTTACAAGCTGGTTTAGATGCTAGTAATTTTCCTTTTAGGGCATAAGTATTTGAAATGCTTGTGTTAAAACAGCAGCTCGATGAGATGTCATTTGTCCCTGCTTCCCCCCACCCCAACCTTTGCAGCAGGATGTCCTGAAATTAGGGGACTTTGGGTCCTGCCGGAGTGTGTACTCCACACAGCCGTACACAGAATACATCTCCACCCGCTGGTACCGGGCCCCGGAGTGCCTGCTCACCGACGGCTTCTACAGCTACAAGATGGACCTTTGGAGCGCGGGCTGTGTGTTCTTCGAGATCGCCAGGTACAGCTGAGGCCGGCCTGGCGTCTGCGGACCCCCACCTCGGTGCAGGTGTCCTGAGGCGGGTGACAGGGAGGCTTCATGCCAGCCCTTCCTTTACAGTGCAGATTTTACAGTCATTCTGCTGCTGTGACTGTCTCTAACTTAACAGAAAATGTGCCTTTTGACAAACACTTTTCCTTGCTTGCTGGTCATGGAGAACAGATGGCCACCAGTTACTTCTTCCCTCGTGGCCCCCCGGGCCCTGGGTGGCGGGATTGGGGGTGCGTCACTTGGCTTCATCAATGAAATGGCTGATTACCGAGTTCAGGAACCCAATACAAACATGCTAGCTGCCACCTATGGGACCCACCGTGGGGGGATGTGAGTGATTCCTAAGAGGCACAGCTGTATCAGGAGACTTTGGCCACAGGTGTGAGGATGAGCCCCCATCCAGCACAGCTGGACTCTAGAAAGCCCCGGTCCTCATTATCCTCCCGGCACCCCCACCCCAGCCTTTGGGCTTCACCTCTGGAGGGAGCAGTGGGCTGGGGAGGAGGGAGGAGATGAGTGGGGTGTCCGGTTGAAGATGGCCAGGCAGGGGTGGGGCAGCACCCTCCAGCTCACAGTGGCTCGCTAAGGACGGGTGAGTTCGACGCTAGGGTGACGTGTGCAGAGCCCAGGCCGTCCACTCCCACCTGCTCAGCCAGCTGCTTCGTAAGTCCAGACACCTGTGCACTTCTGGACACACCTTCCTTTGAGATCACGCATCTTGATATGTGACTTAGTTTTGGAAAGCTGAGTGGCAGTTTCACTGAAGCTAAAAGTGCCAAGTGACAGTCCTTCCTCCTGTGCTAACCCCCTTGAATTAGCTGGGAAGGGCGTTAGAGGACTTGGGCATTAACCAGCCACCGTGAGCGGGCCTGTCCTAACAACAGCCCCTTGTCACGCCGGTCCAGTCTGCAGCCCCTCTTCCCCGGAGCCAACGAGCTGGACCAGATCGCGAAAATCCACGAGGTCATCGGCACACCTGCTGAGAAGACCCTCATCAAGTTCAAGCAGTAAGTGCACTCTCCCCGCGTGGCTGGTGGCGGGAGGGAGCCGAGGCAGGGCCAGGCTGCGCCTCCGTGGCCTTTGCAGCCCCTCAGTCCCCTTGGGGCCCCGCTGCCACGGAAGGGGCTGTGTGTTCACGGCGGCACTCCAGCGCCCCCAGAGGGGTGCCGTCCTCCAACATCACAGACGAGTGCCTGCCGGCTTGCTGAGGGCCTGGCAGCCAGATTTGTCACCTGAGTATTTACATGGGACCTAAGAGGCCCCAGCACAGGCTCGGCTCAGTGAGGACTTGGTGCAGCTGCCACCCGGCATCGCTGGTGACACTGACCCCTGAGCAGGACTTTGCTTTGGTCACAGATGAAGCTGAGGTGGAGGGTGGGGGGCCGGGGGGCGCGTAAGCAGGTGACAGCTGTTTTGGATTCTTCTTCTTTCTTAAACCTTGTATCATTCTCAGGTGGGAAGGCGATATCAGTCTTTGAGGAAAAGCCGTTTCCTTACACTTAAACCATAATGGGTTTCACCCCCCACTTTCTGAAAAAAGAGACCTTTTCAGGGCAGCCTTAGGTTCGTAGCAAAACTGAGCGGGAAGTCCGCAGACCCCCCGGCGCAGTGCCCAACCCCACACGCCCCGGGCTCGCTGCCGGGCCCCTGCTCCGTCACTGGGCACGTCTCGGCCCCCGGAGCCACTCTGGGCAGCGTGTCCTGGGGCGTGGATGGGCGGCCGGGCCCCCTAGGTGGTAAAGTGCCCCTCGGCGCAGCCCGTGGAGTCGGCGGTGGACCGGCCAGGAGCCCTAATGACGGCGTGACCGTTTATTATCGTTGGGCTTTTAATACAGGTCGAGAGCTATGAGTTTTGATTTTCCTTTTAAAAAGGGGTCAGGAATACCTCTACTGACAGCCAATCTGTCCCCACAATGCCTCTCCCTCCTGCACGCCATGGTGGCCTATGACCCGGACGAGAGGGTCAGCGCGCAGCAGGCCCTGCAGCACCCCTGCTTCCGGGAGCTCAGGTAGCTCAGCGGGGTGTGGGCGGGGGGCCGGCACCTGAGCTGGGGTGTGGGCGAGGGGCCGGTGACTGGGCCAGGGATGCCTGGCGGGGGACTGGCGCCTGAGATGGGCTGTGGGCAGGGGCTGGCGCCTGAGATGGGGTGTGGGTGTGGAGCTGGTGCCTGAGCTGGGGTGCAGGTGGGGTTCTGGGGACAGCTCCCTCTGCCCCACGCTGCGGTGCCCCCCAGGACACCTCCCCGGAGGCTGAGCGGGTGTGCGCAGGGCGTGGGGAGCGCCCTGTGGCCGCCTGGCGGCTGATGCCCAGGCTCCGCTTGTTAAGATGGGGGGAGCCCGCACCCTGCAGTGGGACCACAGAGAACTCGCTGGCAGGCCTGTGAGCACGTAAGTGCGCCTGGCATTGGACGTGCAGGCCTGAGGTGTCTCATTCCACGCTGTCACCCGCTCCCGCGTGTGCGGCCACGAGGTGACATCTGACCCAAACCTCGAGTCACTGGGCCGGGGTGCAGGCCTATGGCTGGTGGTTCACAAAGCCCTCTCTGCCCCAGCCCAGAGACTGTCAGGCTGACACAGAAAAGGGACAAAGGGCCCCTCGTAATAGTTCACATAGGAAAGAAGAGGTAGCGACAGCACACGCAGGGACGACTTTGCAGGCGGAACGAGCAGCCGTGCGGGGGGTTCTCAGCCAGCGCCCTTCCTCTCCCTTCCCGCAGGGCACCCGGGAAGCAGGCTCCGGGCAGCCACAGAAAAGCTTTCTTCCCAGAGAACCCGGTGGCACCGGAACTCCTCAGTGACAAGTGGCAGATTGCAAAGGAGGGCAGAAAGCAGGTACACCCGAACCAGTGAGCGGGACATAGGTGGGCTGCTGTAGCCGGGCCCGGACGCCCTCAGATGGCCCGTTTCTGCTTAGGACACCACCTGTGAGGGCCCTGTCAGCGAGGCCTGTCACCCTGTCACCATGCCAGATGAAGGCTCCATTTACCAGGACGTGGGGAGCCTGGCTTCGCCCCATTAGCTAAGGGTCATCGACAGCATCCTGTGAGCAGGCCAGATGAGGGGAGGCGGGGCTTCTCCAGCACAGGTGCCAAGTTCTGTGCCAGAGCGCCTCACGGATGTCAGCTTCTCGTGCCCTCAGGCCTACTCTGCGGCGCACAGAGAAGCTAGTGACGAGCGTGGTAGGGATGCCGTCTCCTCGGCCACAGCCCACCAGCCCAGCAGGCCTCAGACGGGCGCTTCACCCCGCCACAGCGCCCGCCCCCCCACTTCGCTTTAGCCGTTGTCGGTGTCCTCACTTTCCTGTTCCCATAGCATGCGCTCTGTCCCACCGGCTTTCTGGTCCCGGCGGTACCAAGCCCCGGGGTGACCGTGCCCGCCCAGCATTCGTTTTCATCCATCCTGGCCTTTGCTGAGTGTCACTAAGTGCTAGCAGCCGGGGACGCAGCTGTCTGCTGTCTAGCTGCTTTCCAGCAGTGGACACCCCTCCCCTGGCTGCTGTCCCTGCTCAGTCTCCCCTCCCACCTGGTCAGATGCTTGTCTGACCGCGTCACTCCGGCCGGGCCCCTAAGGCCCCACCTGCAGTCAGAGCCTAGGCCCGTGCTTGTCTGTAAGGGCCGCAGAGGTGGCTTTGTCGGCTTCGTGGGCCACATGGTCTCCATCTCAACTGCCCGCTCTTTGCCGCGGTGCCGTAAACGGAAGTGGAGCTGTGCTCCAAACAACCAGGGACACAGAATTTTGAATTTAATATAATTTTTACATGCCATGCAAAAAATTTCAACTACTGAAGAAGGTAAAAATCATTTTGAGCTCACCAGCCGCTCAGGAGCAGGTGGCAGGCAGATTCGGCTGACCTTACGGAGTCTGAGCAGGAGTTGTCCCCACGGCCTGGGCCCTTGGGGGCTGCCCTCGCTGTCACTGCACAGCCTCCCCCGGGCCGGTCCAGTCGGGCCCAGTGGGCACCGAGGGCAGGACTCCACATGAGGGCTTGGCCTCCCGCTGTGGGTCCCTCGTGGTGGCAGGACACTGTGTGTGCTGTCCAGTCACACCTCACCATCAAGACACTGCACTAGGCAAAAGTGGCACCAGAGAGCTTCTTTTGTTCTGAGTTCTGTGGGGGAGACACCTGGTAGCTCAGCTGAACTGTGTTTTGTTTCAAGCGACAGCCTCTAAAGCAAGACGGGGACCGTCCGAAGCGACAAGGGCTGGCCTGCCTGACGGAACTGCCCAAGCTGAAGCTCTCAGGCGTGACCCAGCTGTCGTACTCCAGCCCGGCGCTCCAGTCGGTGTTCGGACCGGGCGGGAAAGGCCAGGTCCCCGTGCTGAGACCCCTGAAGCGTGTGGGCGTGAGCCAGAAGGTAGCCGGCCTTCCCGCTAGCTGCCCTTAGCGCTGCTGTCACAGCCGCCGAGGCCGCTACTGAGTGTCTGCCCTTCTCTCTGCCAGCCGGAGCCGCAGAAGGAGCCGCAGCCCGGCCTGAAGCAGTGCCGCCTGCCCGCGATAGGGAGGAAGCGGGGCGGGTGCTGAGCAGCACGTGCCCGTCACCTCGTGCTGTCCCGCAGGGCGCCAGCCAGCCCGTCGCCTCAGACACGGATGGGGGGCTCCAGGGCCAGGCCGGGTGCTGTCCCCGCCAGGCCGGGTGTCCCCTACGTCCGGAAGGCAGCCAGGCTGTCTGTTCCCCTCCACCCACGTCGTTCCAGGGTTTATTTCACTTTCGTAACATAAAAATTGGGGGCAGGAAATATTTTGTAATTTTTTATATGAACCCAAACAGAAATTAGAGTTTCTATTATGTGTCATTAGGCTCGGTTTCATGGCAGGCACTGCGTGTTGTCCCCTCACTGTGTGACCACAGATTATGCTGACATTCGTTGAAGAACAAGCCATCATTACAGTGTTTCCTTGTACATCGTGAGTTAACTGTGTTCTTTATTTTCACTTATGTGAACACATCGGGGGAGCTAATCCTGGTGGGAAGACGGGTGTCGCCTCATTCCGGTTCACCTGAGAAGCCACTGAGGAATGAACACAGGCCGTGCTGGTGCCCTGGGTGCTCCCGGGGGAGCCGCAGCCGGCCGGGCCCCTCCGAGCAGGAGGGAGGAGGGCGGGTCAGAGCCACGTGGGTTCATCCCGCGGGGAGACGGCACTGCTGCTGCTGAGCCGCGGGGGGCCGAGCTCTGCTTCTGGGGTGCCAACAATAAGGGGGGCACAAAAAGAAACCTGTCCCCTGGAGGTGGGACGGGAGCGTTGCGGGGGGCAGGGCTTCTGGGGGCGCAGGGCCTTGGCTGCGGGGCAGAGGACCCCGTCGGAGACCTGTCGGGCGGAACCCAGTCACCGAGTGTGGCTGCTGCTTCTCGTCTCCAGTTTGCAACGCAGGAAGCTCACCTCCGTTTCCTGCCCGTCTTGTTCCCTCTTTGAAGACAGATCCGTGACACCCTCCGTATGCTCTCCGGTGGCTGCCGTCTCCGGCTCACCTAATAGGCCGCGAAGCAGAACCGGGAGTGGCAGCGCAGCTGGGCTGCTGGAGGGCGGAGGGCGGAGCCCGCACCGTTTCACGCGGCCGAGGGGCGGCTGTGAGCAGAGGCAGGGGGGCTGCGTGGGGCAGAGGGGCCCCAGGAGGGCAGATTCGAGACCAGAAATGCGGCCGTGGTGATGCTCGGAGCCGCGCGCACCCAGGGCAGGGTCAGGAACAGCTTCCTTTCAGGCCCACCCGAGTCACTGGTGGGGCCCTGCTGCGGACAGGGTGTTGGGGGGCAGGAGGGTCACGTGGGAGTGCAGACGGCGTCACAGACAGGAAGGGGCCGGAGACAGGTGGTGCTGTGGCCCAGCGGCGAGAAGGGACCCAGACGCCAGAGCAGACGAGAGTGGGTGCTCGGCCGAGGGGGGACCTGGCCACTCTGAGTCCCCAAAGGGGCGGTGGCTGGCTTAGGGGGCACACTTCTGTCCTTGGGGACTGGCCTTAGGCATGTTTAAGGACTAACAGGTATTTGTGCAGTTAGGAAAATTGTTGCTCCCTGTAAGTACATAAAATCTGGAGAGGAAACCCTTAAAGTTTTTCTGCGTACCTTTTTGAGAGAGCGTGCCCTGCGGATGCTGCTTCTCGGGAAGGCAATCACCCTTCCTCTCCAGACTGGTCGCCCCACGGTGGGGACAGTGGGGCTGAGGGGCTAAGGGGCTCTCTGGGGTTGGCAGGCCCTGGAGGGACATGGCTTGTGCACTGAATGAGGCCCTGGTTGTTTCACGTTAGTCTCGGGGGTAAAGGCACCCGAAGCAGTGTTGGGCTGGCAACTGCTGCCCCTTGGGCGTGTGGCTTGAACTTCAGCATCGTGGGCCAGGCGCTTGCCCACACACCTGGAGAGCAGAGCTTCCTGTGCCATGGGAGCGCACAGCCACCTTCTCTGGGCCGGGCAGCCCATCAGCGGGCAGCGGCGGTTGCTGCCGGCTCTCTCCATGCCGGTCCGTGAGCCCCACAGTGGGCTGACACTGGCCGGGGCTTAGGGGGTGCAGGCAGCCACCGTGGCCTGCTGCCAGGGCCCTGGCAGGGTCTCTGCCCTTCCAAACCAGAAAGATCGCGAAGGAGGCCACGCCATTCAACAGGGTCTCTCAAAGCACGTGAATTGTCACCACAGAACTGCAGACGGGGAGCAGGCTGAAGTGTCACCTCCTCCAGCAGCACCCTGTTAAATTCACTCACATCACATGTTTACTGGGCACCTGCCAAGTGCCGGGGCCTTCTGAGCTCAGCCGGAGGGAAGACATCCTGGGCCGCTTCCCACACCGAGGTGTGACCGGTGTGCTGGCCGGGGCAATGGCAGGAAGCGGACATCCCGGTCCAAGACCCCAGCTCTGAGGATGGCCTGTGAATGTCGTAAAGCTGCTCGGAGCTTTAAGGCAGAGGCAACACCACCCCCATGGTGAGGGCACATCTGGGCGTGTGCCCTCTGGCCAGGCCACACCGCTGGCCAGCATGCTGGCTGCCGGGGCACGGAGCTGGGCGACTCCGCCCCCCAGACACCTGCCTCCTCTCAGCGTCCCCCAGACCTGACCCCATGTGGGGGGCTGGGGGGCGGGGCCCTCGCCAGCTCTGAAAGTAGAAGCAGCTCAGGACGAGGAGAGGCAAACACAAGCCAGACCAGGTGAGAGAGCGACCTCACGCTGTCCACGGCTTCTGGGTGACGCGGGCCCGGGGGCAGGATGCTGTGTGTCCGTGTCGGGGCGGGGCACAGTTCTGATGCTCGTTGACTTTGGAAACCATCTTGGATCGTGTGGCCAGAGACCAATCTTAGAAGCAGACATAAAACGAAAGATGTGTTCCAAGCACAGATGCATCTACGACAAACAGACACAGCTGGAAGTTTCAGTAGGTGTCAGTGGCAAACTATGTTCCAGAGCCTGTGACAAAGGTGACGGACAGTGGCAGAGCTGGGACTGCCTGCCTGGAGCCATGCAGATCGCAGGGCCCATGCGAGCCGAGTGCTGGAATTGTCACACATGGAATTGTCCTGGAGCCCAGCGCATTTCCACCTGTCACCTGTCACAAACAGACGGGAGCACACAGAATGAGGTGACGACCCAGGGAGCCCCAGGGTTGTCACCTCATTCTGGCTCAGCTTCCTGGTAGGTCTCAGGCCCACAGGGCGGGTTTTGTGTAGCCCACACCAGTGCTTTGACTAAGAGACACCAACTATCTAAAATGTGCTAATATTTTATTTTAGAACGTGTGCGATATGTAAATTCCTATTCTTTCACTTCGAACAATAGGTAAGTGTCCCGGTATTCGCAGTCACAGCGCAGTGGCCTTGACCCAGAGGCTTGGCCGAGGGCTGGGCCGCAGCCCCTCGAGGCTCTGGGGACAGAGCCAGACCCGGGCCGCTGAGCGCTGCTCCAAGCAGGACGGCCACCCCGCCGCTGTGCTCACACTCACGGGGACAGCGGGCGACCTCCCGGAAGGAAGGGGCGCGCCCTTGTGTAGCCCCAAAGCCCTCAGCCGCGCCCCGCGTTCCACCTGACCACGCACGCAATGCTTCAGACGCCTCACGGTTCAGTCTCGACAAAGGAAAAGGCCGTCGGGGTCCGGCCGCGGCGGCCGCACCTGGCTGCGATGCGGCGACGTGCAGGTGCGGGCGTGACCTCCGCGCGTGACCTCCGCTGCGTCAGGCCCGAGCTGCGTCCCACCACGGACAAGTGCCGCGTAATTTCACCGCCATTTCTCGTCGCCGTGCGGGTCACAGAGCCCTGTCATACCGCATACGCGCCACGTGTGG